TAGCAGTAGCCTACATTATGCAGAAACCACAAAGGAAATAGGCCTACTTGAGGCAGGATGTGGCTATCTATCTATCTATCTATCTATCTATCTATCTATCTATCTATCTATCTATCTATCTATCTATCTATCTATCTATCTATCTATCTATCTATCTATCTATCTAATTTATATTTATCTATCTAATTTATATCTATCTATCTATCTATCTATCTATCTATCTATCTATCTATCTATCTATCTAATTTATATTTATCTATCTAATTTATATCTATCTATCTATCTATCTATCTAATTTCTATCTATCTATCTATCTAATTTATATCTATCTATCTATCTATCTATCTATCTATCTATCTATCTATCTATCTATCTATCTATCTATCTATCTATCTATCTATCTATCTATCTATCTGTCTATCTATCTATCTATCTATCTATCTATCTAATTTATATTTATCTATCTAATTTATATCTATCTATCTATCTATCTATCTATCTATCTATCTATCTATCTATCTATCTATCTATCTATCTATCTATCTAATTTCTATTTATCTATCTATCTATCTATCTATCTATCTATCTATCTATCTATCTATCTAATTTATATTTATCTATCTATCTATCTATCTATCTATCTATCTATCTATCTATCTATCTATCTATCTATCTATCTATCTATCTATCTATCTATCTATCTATCTAATCTTTCCATCCATCTCATTTACTAAAAATATGTCATGGTGTGCAATTTAAAGTTTGTGTAACTGATAAAAATAAACAGGTTTCTGTAGCACAGCAGCTGAATTAACAATAACTTTCTGAGATGTTGCAAACAATTTCATGTTAGACAAATTTATTACATTTTTTATAAAATTTATAAATTTATTAGTATTAGTTATGCAGCCGTGACCACAGAAGAATAGAAACAATATAAGATTTAAAATACCTTACCATCCACACTGATGAAAAACATGATGTAAACCCACATTTGAACAGGCATTAGATATTAATATAAGTGATGTTATTAATCTTGATAATGCACCTGGAGCTCGAGCTCGTCTGATGAACATTCAGAGATTGTAACTGAGTTTCATCAGGAAGTGACACGGGTGATGATGAATCTACTGAATCCATTAGATGGCACCAAAACCTCTCAACAATTAATCACAGCTTTTCTCTTTCTGACTTATCAGTGATTCAAACTCAATTTCATAATATAACATTCACTATTTATTTATGCCATGTTATTAGCATTACACTTAATGTTAAGTTTATTAGAATTAAACAATGTTAATACCACCTCTCTGATAATATATGGATATTTATCTTTGGTTGTATTGAGCTTTCGCGAGTTTCAAAACCTTCAAAAATGTCAAATAAATTAATGAATATATATACATACTGTAGGCAGGCTATAGATAGATAGATAATTGTAACTATAACAAAATAAATAAAGCAGCACTGACCTGACTTTAATACCGCTTGGGACTTAATTGGCCCACTTTTAGTATATAATATGTTTTAAGTGAACTATAAGTGTAACAGTAAACTTTAAGTGCACAACTAAGTTCATAATTACGTTACTCATTGCAAGTGAACTTATGGGTAGTAGTTTACTATTTTAATACAACATTTTTAGTTTATGAAAGTACACTTTGAAGTATACTCTCAGTAAACTACTAGTTTAGTAGTTTTATACTACAAGTTTTCTTTTAGTGTACTCTCAGTAAACTATAGTTTAGTAGATTTATACTGCAAGTATAAATGCAAGTTTTCTTTTAGTGTACTCTCAATAAACTACTAGTTTAGTGGTTTTATACTACAAGTTTTCTTTGAACTTAACATTATTCTTATAGTTTACTATTTATACAGGTCCTTCTAAAAAAATTAGCATATTGTGATAAAGTTAATTATTTTCCATAATGTAATGATAAAAATTCAACTTTCATATATTTTAGATTCATTGCACACCAACTGAAATATTTCAGGTCTTTTATTGTTTTAATACTGATGATTTTGGCATACAGCTCATGAAAACCCAAAATTCCTATCTCAAAAAATTAGCATATCATGAAAAGGTTCTCTAAACGAGCTATTAACCTAATCATCTGAATCAACTAATTAACTCTAAACACCTGCAAAAGATTCCTGAGGCTTTTAAAAACTCCCAGCCTGTTTCATTACACAAAACCGCAATCATGGGTAAGACTGCCGACCTGACTGCTGTCCAGAAGGCCATCATTGACACCCTCAAGCAAGAGGGTAAGACACAGAAAGACATTTCTGAACAAATAGGCTGTTCCTAGAGTGCTGTATCAAGGCACCTCAGTGGGAAGTCTGTGGGAAGGAAAAAGTGTGGCAAAAAACGCTGCACAACGAGAAGAGGTGACCGGACCCTGAGGAAGATTGTGGAGAAGGACCGATTCCAGACCTTGGGGGACCTGCGGAAGCAGTGGACTGAGTCTGGAGTAGAAACATCCAGAGCCACCGTGCACAGGCGTGTGCAGGAAATGGACTACAGGTGCCGCATTCCCCAGGTCAAGCCACTTTTGAACCAGAAACAGCAGCAGAAGCGCCTGATGGGCTGCAGAGAAGCAGCACTGGACTTCTGCTTCTGCTTCTCACAAATTTTGCATGTCATTTGGAAATCAAGGTGCCAGAGTCTGGACGAAGGAAATGCCAAAATGCCTGAAGTCCAGTGTCAAGTACCCACAGTCAGTGATGGTCTGGGGTGCCATGTCAGCTGCTGGTGTTGGTCCACTGTGTTTTATCAAGGGCAGGGTCAATGCGGCTAGCTATCAGGAGATTTTGGAGCACTTCATGCTTCCATCTGCTGAAAAGCTTTATGGAGATGAAGATTTCATTTTTCAGCACGACCTGGCACCTGCTCACAGTGCCAAAACCACTGGTAAATGGTTTACTGACCATGGTATTACTGTGCTCAATTGGCCTGCCAACTCTCCTGACCTGAACCCCATAGAGAATCTGTGGGATATTGTGAAGAGAAAGTTGAGAGACGCAAGACCCAACACTCTGGATGAGCTTAAGGCCGCTATCGAAGCATCCTGGGCCTCCATAACACCTCAGCAGTGCCACAGGCTGATTGCCTCCATGCCACGCCGCATTGAAGCAGTCATTTCTGCAAAAGGATTCCCCACCAAGTATTGAGTGCATAACTGAACATAATTATTTGAAGGTTGACTTTTTTTTTTTGTATTAAAAACACTTCTTTTATTGGTCGGATGAACTATGCTAATTTTTTGAGATAGGAATTTTGGGTTTTCATGAGCTGTATGCCAAAATCATCAGTATTAAAACAATAAAAGACCTGAAATATTTCAGTTGGTGTGCAATGAATCTAAAATATATGAAAGTTTAATTTTTATCATTACATCATGGAAAATAATGAACTTTATCACAATATGCTAATTTTTTGAGAAGGACCTGTATATTATTTTTGCACTTGCAGTAGAGTGTACTTATAGGCTACTATATGTTCAAATGTTATTTTTTGTAGGCCTACTTGAAAAAATACCTTTAACTGTACTTTAATTAAAAAAATTTTTTTTTTGCTTCATGCATCCTTTTTTATCAACACTTGAAAGTTGCTAAGTTTCATAAAGAAAGGCAACATTTTAAACAAAAAAGTTGAGAAAATCTCATTTTTGTCAAAAACTAATGCCGTGTTCCAGGCAGGGTTAGTTACTGACTAAAGAGTGTCAGAGAGAGACGTCAGAGCTCGTAACTGGGAGTACATCGATCTAGTACAAGTTCACGGGTGGGAAGTCACAGGTTTGACTGCCGTTCCAGTGCACTTTCACGGGTATAAGGTTGGAAAAACACGGGTTACAGGTTGCCTGGAATGCGGCATTAGTACGCCTTGATCAGATTCAGAAAAATGATCAAAACACAGATGGAGTAGATCGAGTCCAACACCCCCAAAGCTTCACAGTCGTTTTCTCTTCATGTGTTATGCTTCATTTCATTTGGAAACATTAAGCAGTTTTGATTTACACACTGTTTAATGTTTGATGATCACGTTATCACCCTTTTCAAATTTCCAGGTTTCTCAGAAGCGGAAGTCGTCATATGGGTAAACTCCATATAGGCTATGGTGAATGAGAGACAACATAAATGTATTTTTCTGTGTTCCCTTTTGCTCAAATAGCAAAAGAAAAACTCCACAATTGTGTTTTTAGAACTTTCAAAAAGATGAAGAAAAAAATAGAGCTCTCTTCTGATTGATAATGGCAGTCAGAAGTAACTTCAGAAGAGAGAAAGATGTCAACTTTATACCGTCCATCACTCCCACAGCCGCTTAGTAACACCCTTACAGCAGTAGGGCTTAACTATTTTATAAAAGCCCAGTGTTATAAATGTACATAGGTAAAAATAATAATAATAAAATACTTTTATTTTTAAGGATTTAAGATGCTGATGACCGTTAAAATGCGTCATCATCACGCGAAAAAGGTCATCAGAGGAGGCTGTTTACATACGGTAAGGCTTCAAATTATGCGCAGTAGTTCAGACGTGGGTATTTGAATATGTTTGATTAATATTGAAATTGCTGTGGTGGATTAGAAAAGTGGAAACGTTTTTGTTATGAAATCTGGTCTCTGTTTGAATAGTAAAACAACGCAATTAATCTCATATCGTGCCGAGTTGTGCTAGCAGGTGTTTCAAAACCAAATGACAGTAATACAAGAATCAACCTTTATAACGTTAAATAGAAAACTTCGGGAAACATCATGTGCTCCATTGTAAGATGTACGGGGTAATGATGTTAACGGCTGATTTATAAAGTTATCGGCATCGTCACAGAAGCTCGGGCGGATCTGTGCGCGATCAGACTAAACATCGTTTAAGAAAACAAGATAATTTTACGGATTGCCACCTTTGCGAGTATTTTTGAGGGTGGAGAGTATCAGAGAGCACACCCACATGACACGACACATACAGCTGTGTTTTCTTCTCCATTTTCTACCAAACGAACTTTTTCTTTCGATTTTGTTACGAACATGTAATGGCGTCCAGTTCAGGTAAGAATAAAATCAGACCAAATAAATGTGTTTAACACACTAAAACTGAAATCCTTACAGAAAAATAGTATTTTATTAAATAATACAGTAAATATAGGCCTATTAATGCTGGAAAATATGTCGGTACAAGTAGGATAAGGCCTGCTTTATGGAAGTGCACTTTTCTCCTATCAATGTAATGGAGCAACGCAGTTTGATCGAATACATTTTCTTTAAAATTGCGTGAATAGTAAGGCAGCGAGGCATGTGGTAAATGTAATATAGGCCTAATTAATAATAATAAGGCAAAGTTTGTCACCATGTGAAATCATACGGTAGGCTAGCACAATTTCAGTAACATTTAATTAAATTACCAACTTCATCAAATGGTGTACTATTTTATCTTCACAGCACTTGTAGGCTATAGGGCTAGTATTTTGCCCATATTGTAAAAAGAAGCAGATTCATTTTTAAAACCTTTGGAGTATGTTTGGCAGAATAAAAAGTGATCCACCCACTCATTTGCCACAAAAAAAAAAAATAGAAGCATTTTGAATAGAAATAAAAGCTAGAAATAAAAACAAGCATATTTATCCATCAATATGCGACCAATCGACCAATAAAATATATTGATAGTTTCATTTATTTTTATAAATTTTCCCCCCACTTGTCAATGTTGTGTTCAATTTTGCTTTGTTTTATCTGCAGGGAGCCTTCAAAGACAAAACAAAGATCCCCCAGACAAGGAAGCCATTATCATGACTGGTGGTAAAAAACAACAACAACAAAAACCTATTGTTCAGATGTAATTAGTATTGAAAAAAAAATTAAGTAATTTACTTATCCCCATTCAGGCAATCACCTTTTGTATTTTATGAAAGAAAGAGTATAATACAGAGGTGGAATAATAAATGTTGACAAATTGTTCTTCTTGTGTGAATTATTTCTTTAATAAATAAAAATGAAAATAGAATTTGGTAACAGAATTTGTGAAATTTTAAATTACCATTATTTTGGACCATCTCTTGACCGACCCGATATTAAGTCAACAATTATATGATAATTCATAATAATCAATGCTGCAAATATAATCAAAATCCTTGAGAAACTGTGTATCAGGGAGGTTTATACCTAGAGAAAAGAATGTGTTAGCATAACTCTTCTCAATGCCAGTTACTCGGCTGGTCCAGGAACTGAAGTATACAATCTGAAATCTGCCATGTTCATGGACTTGGTTGAGTATTACTGTTATTTGTCTTCTCTGTTCCAGTGAGTGATTTGAGGATTGTTCTGCTGGGGAAGAATGTAGCAGAAAACAGCAGAGTGGGAAACTTCATCTTAGGAAGAGCAGCGTTTGAGAGTAAAACTCCTGCTGATGTAGAGCTGCACACAGAGAAACACAGAGGAAAACTGAAGGACAGAGACGTCAGAGTCATCAACGCTCCTCAACTGCTGCAACCAAATCTGTCAGTCTCTCAGATCACACAGGGAGTGAAAGAGTGTGTGGATCTGTCTGCTCCTGGACCTCATGTGATCATACTTGTCCTGCAGCAGAACGACTTCAGTAAGAATGACAGAAACAGAGTGAAATATGTGCTGAATGTATTCAGTTATGAGGCTCTTAAACACACTATAGTGTTGAATAATGATGAAGAGATACACAATGACACAATTCATCAATTCATAAAAGAGTGCAGAGGTGGACATCTTCAGTTCGATGAAAGAAAATCAGGATTGCACTCTGAGGTACTTGAAAGAGTTCAGAAGATACTCAAAGAAAACCAGGTCCAATTTCTTATCTGTGACTTGTATGAGGAAGCAAGAGAAGCATCAGAGGATGAAGAGCAGAGCAGATCTAGAAGTTCAGTCACAGCAGAAGAAGAGGGAGATCTTGATCTTGAAGATGATGGAAAAATCAAACAGAGCAACAAAGAGAAAAAGGAAGTTGCTTTCCAAAGAAATAACTTGTGTAAGTATTGTTGGCAAGAAAGTTAATTTAACCCGCACATACACATCACTCCCTTCAAGAGAAAGACTAATTTGAGAAAATAAAAATTGGTTTATAATGATAAATGATAATACAAAAACAGTACTGTCATTTTATAATATCTACAACAAACTCATACAATAAACTTAGATACTCCTTTTTAAATATTTTTTTATTTTACTGCTTATATCCATTTGGGGAGATTTGGAAAAGATAAACTGAAAAAAAAAAAAAACTTTAATAAACATCATTATACTGTTTAACAGATTAGGGTGGAAACTTAATTTCCTATTTCAATGTACATTAGCTAAATGGTGTTGCACATTGTATAATGGCTGTTGAAGATTTATTAATAATTATTGAAGAGGTGATCATACAATTCTAATTAATAAATTGTATAAATCACATGGCAATTTTTATGTAACTCATGTAATTAACCCACTAAATTATTTCCATGTTTGTTTTTCAGTGGCAGAGAGTGTCAATGTTTTGCCGAAGCTGAATGTGGTTCTGTGTGGGAGTGACAGAAGATTAAAAGCATCCATATCAAACCTTCTCCTGGACCGGAGAGACAGAAGACCCGAGCTCATCTCAGAGTGTGTGAAGCTGGAAGGAGAAGCTCATGGACGTCTGATCTCTCTGGTGGAGCTTCCAGCTCTGACTCCACTCTCACAGGAGGAAGTGATGCGTCAGGCTCTCCGCTGTGTGTCTCTCTGTGATCCTGGAGTTCATGTTTTCCTCTTCATTATTCCTGATGGTCCACTTACTGATGAAGACAAAACAGAAACAGAGAAGATCCAAAAAATATTCAGCTCTAAGATCAACATCCACACCATGGTCCTCATAATCCAGAAGTCAGAGCATGAGACAGAAGAACAGAATGAAACAACGAAGTCTGTCATTGAGTGTTTTGGGGGAAGACATAATTTCCTTGGTCCAAACCCACAAGTGTCCGTGTTGGTGACTAAACTGGAGCAGATGATGGAAGAAAATTATGGAATTAGTTTTTCCACAGAAACATTTTTGGATGCACAAATAGAGAAATTTGAAGAAATGAGTAAGAAAATAATCTCATTAGACACACAGATTCAACAGCAAGGTAATAATCAGAAAATGTCTATGTCTCTCACCCACTTTAAATTATGTTTTATTAACAAAGTTCGGGAGGAGCACGTTCAGATAATTAACCTAATTAAAACGAGAAGAGCGCATTCAGTAAATCAACTTAATTAACGACAAAAGAGGTAGACACACAGCAGTCTTACCTCAGTTCGTTGACAGTTTATCAGCATTTGGCCCCGCCCTAAGTTCCCAACATATCCGAAATCAAGCTCTTCCCGTCCGATGAAGAATTTTTCATCCTGGAGGAATCAACTGCCGCAAAACCTCCAGTTCAAGGAGCGATTCTCCTCTGCCTATCACCGCCGCCGATCCCTTGCTGTTATCTCGCAAGCATCAGCCAAACAAACATGTCCCCGCACACCGAGACCCTCACCCACCCACGCAGGGGGAAACATCCGTGATTTCCTTCCGCGTCTTTCTCTAATCCCGCCCATTCAATTATCTCTGCCATAGAGAAAGGGACAATAAGGCCCATCGAGCACTAAACTCGCGTCTCGGGCAATGCCGCCATCTTCCCAAAAAGGAACAGGCCTTCCTCCAGTGTCAGGCCACCGCAGCAGATTCAGTCCCGATCAGCTCACGCTCTCCACCCCTGTCGGCTCAAACCTGTGAGAGCACAGCGCAAATCCCTCTCGTTTTCTGTCCTTGGTAAAATTTTATTTTAACAGTTTATGCCATTAGGATCAATATTGATCTGGGGAATACACGTTTTTAACAGTTTTCTGTACAAGTGATTTGTCGTTGCTTCCTTGTAGCTTAAACACACACACACACACACACACACACACACACACACACACACACACACACACACACACAGTTGCTCGCACGCAAAGTCGCACACAGAATCAGTAAGGTACACAGAACTTATTGTCATCACTGTCCTGCGATTTATCAGAAAAATCGCTTAGGAACTTAAAGTTAATATGTATTTCTGTTTTGAAGTAACTTAAAACCACAGCTTCCATAATGGTAAGGACAAATTCAAACACGCAATTTTCCGGTCACTAATGTATTAAAAAAATGTAATCTTACCATTACACTTCATCTTTATCTAATAAAACAAACATAAATAGGTAAGTAAAGCAACAACCCATAGACAGATAACTGCTTAAAAAAATAAAAAGGTGTGTTTCATATGCAAGGTTCCCTTTCAGTCAAGAACATCAGGCGTAGTCGACGTCGACTGGTTGGTCGAAACATGTTGGCTTGTGTACCTTTAAAATGATTTAAGCCATACTAAATAAAGGCTTTTTAACTTTATCCTTCTCCTCATTGAAAACTTGACTGAGTGCCTGGGACCTGCTTTTCGTTTCTTTGCATTTTCGAGTACTATTGAATGAGCCAATGCAATTGGCGTGTGTGATTTACATCACACACTCCGCCCCCGCGGCGCGGGTATAAATACGGAAGTGGATGCACGCACTAGTTGCCTTTCACTTTGGAGCCGATCGTTTGATGTCTCTGAAGAGTGCTGTTGTTTACAACAAGTGAGTGTGTCGTGTTCTTCTGGAAGACTCTCCCAGTGTTGGTGGTTTCTACAGCACAGTGCAGCGGTGATCGCGAGCTTTGAGCTCTTAACTGCTGTTTTAACAGCAACAAATTTCTATATGTTTGTGTTTGTTGACGGCTGGTTAGAGGGAGGAAAAGTGAGTGCTTCACTGTTTCAGTTCACTGTTCAGTGTTGTTGTGGTCATTCCCCTGTGTGCTCCGGCACTGGTGACGGGTCCTATTTCCTGAAAGAGCAATTTCGTCTTTTTCAAGATCCGTGCATTCACCTGTGCGTTTCTGGCAGACGCAGCCGCTTGGCTCCCTCCATATGAAGACCGCCTCAGTACTAGCTTCATGATCGAGTCCCGAGGTGACTGTGGCAGAGCAGCACGCCCTGTGTGACAACAGATCATCCCGGCCTGCTGCCAAACCCTCACTGACTGAGGGGCCATGTACAAAGGGCATGTTTTATGTCGCTTGCACCTACTGTGCTAGGTCAGGAGTGGAGCAGGTCTTGATAGTTACCCCTTATTGACTCAACCATACCTAGTTCCCCTTGACAGCCCTTCCTGACTTCCCCTGAATACATTTCAGGGACGGGGCATGATGGCACCCGCGTTCAGACCCCTGGAGAGATTCCAGGCCGGTCCTAAAGTGGACACGGAGGTTCAGGTGACTACCATAGAACTATGTGGTAGTTACCATCACTTCTGCAAGCACTCCCTAAAAAAAGGAAGTTGTGCTTACGGCAAATAGAAGTGGAAGCTATTCGTTAAGTGAGTCTTCTCTGAAGGCGTTCGGTCATTTCAGTTCTTTCTTTCCTGCAAGATGGGTTGGAGTAGGCTGTTTTCCTCCACCCTCAAAATGATGTTGCCTCTGTTTTTCTTGACGCACATCATGATGCAGAAGAATGGTCCTTAGGGACCAAGGGAATCTGCCTTGCACCCCTCTTTATCCTCTTGGGCCTATCTCTGGTGCTACTGCACTGCAGAGACCGCCCCTGAGCCACTGCAGACAGTGAGTTAAAAATTCTTTTTTGAAACAGTTCTCTTGCTCGCGTGGTCTTTACTAGAGGGTAGGGACTTGCTCGCTTTCGGTCAACGAGCCTGGAATTCGGGCCGACTAACTCTCACGAGCTGAGACCCCGGCCTGGATATGTGCCCAAGGTTCCTACCTCTCCCTAAAGGTGGGATAAGGTAGTGAGCCTGTAAGCGCTGCCCCGGAGGAGGCAGACCCAGCCCTGGCTTTCTCTGTCCGTCCGCTTCATTTGCGGTGATACGTGCACAGAACGCAAGCCTTAGGACCTCAGACCAGCTCTTATCTGTAAAGGAAATCAGCAGAGAGGGAAGGCTGTTTCCAAGCGAGGTTGGCCCACTGAATGGTGGCTGCCTTCATCTTGGTGAAAATCCCAAGATGCACGTGTCCACTTAGGTGGTGAGCTCCTCTGAGTGAGTGTGTGCTCCCGACTAGGCGTTGACACAGAGTGCTTCTCTGACAGATTCTATAGTTGGGGGCTGGGTGACACCCTTAGTCAAACCGCTGCTTCCTGTGGGCTTCCCTTCTCATGAAGCCAGTTTCACCGTGAGCCCGATTCGAAGTGTCGGCTTGCTGCGCCATTCCCCTCCTATGGACTGGATACGTGCGCCAATTCTGCTCCAGTTAAGTTCCCTTTAACCGAACCCTGTTGAGTTCCTCCACATCCCTTCATCATTGGACGTGGCGGAGCATCCGGTGCTAGGCCTATCACTCGTAAGCATTGTGGAACCTGTGTTAGGCTGGGTCCATATGTTGCGATCCCTACGGTGATCCCATATATGTATTCTTCCACGGTACGGCTCCATGCGGCGAGCCTGTGTCTTCCCTTGCCAGAGCCTGCTCTGCCGTCACTGTCCGGTTGAGTCTCCCCCTGTCATAGGCTGGAGCCACCCCAGTGACATTCCATATTTTGTACTGCCCGGTCTTCCGCCCAGTTCATATGTGTATTCTCCATGTTACCTTCCTTCGGGCAGGATGTGGCTTCCGCAGCGTCCCTTCCTTTTATGTTCAAGGAACGCTTTCCCAGTGGTCCTGTAGGAACAGCAGTGACTTCCCTGGCCTAAGCCCTGTCCCTTCTCCGCCTTAAATTGTGGGGGGATCAGGAGGCTTTTGTCTAGGCACTGAAGGTGGCAGCTTTAGTGGCGCTTTCAATGGTTGATCCCCATTCAGTCGACGTCGACTACGTCTGACGTTCTCGACTGAAAGGGAACGTCCTGGTTGCGTATGCAACCCATCGTTCCCTGAAGGAGGGAACAGAGGACGTAGTCCCCTTGCCACTACTGCTGGACCACCGCTGACTCAGAGTTACGCTCGGCTCTGACTCAGAGTTTATCAGCATCCCTCCACCACCCCATCTCCTCACTTCTAGTTCTAACTATTCCTATCACAACCTCGTGAAATGATAAAACATGTGGATCTGGGAGTAGTTAAGGAGACATTCACTACTGGAATGGGGATAAAGTGCACATAATCCCAGTCAGACCATTGCACACAAAATCTCCAAAAGACCAGGAGAGGCTGTGGCTCAGACCTAAACATAATCTGTTTTCAACTTTTCTGTAGTGACTCTATGACTTTTATGTAGAATTATGTATTTTAAAGCAGAATTTGACCATGGCCCACCTAACTAATGCTCAATAAAGACTTACAACCCTACACAGTTGCTGGAAAATTTAGATGCATTTATAATTGTTTTGGAATCAGATCGCAACACCCACCAAACAGAGTTTAAAACCCGTTTCAGTAAGCCATAAAGAAATGTTAGTTTAGAGAAATAATTTCAGGAAACTGTCAGGGATGATGTATTAAATACATTTACTTCATGCAACTCAAAACATTTACATAATTATTCAAATTCACAATTTATTTGATTTCAGTTTGTTCTTTTGTATTAGTAATAATTCAGACAGATTGCTCCTAAATGTTCGTAGGATTTGATTTTAAAAGACTAGCAGCATGACTCTTTTCTCTTTTTCAGATTCAAGAGAGGTTTCAGATGATGTGAGGATTGTCCTGCTGGGAAAAACTGGAGTTGGGAAGAGTGCAACAGGAAACACCATCTTAGGGAGAGAAGTATTTAAAGAAGACATGTCTCAAGAGTCCATTACTAAAGAGTGTCAGAGAGAGACGGCTGAAATTGATGGCAGACAGATTACTGTGATTGACACTCCAGGACTGTTTGATACTAAACACAGTCATAAAGAGATCCAGACAGAAATCAGCAACTGCATCTCCATGATTCTGCCTGGACCACATGTGTTTCTGTTACTGATACCACTGGGACGTTTCACTCAGGAGGAGGAAAATGCTGTCAAGATCATTCAAGAGACTTTTGGTGAAAACTCCCTAATGTACACTATGGTGCTCTTCACCAGAGGAGATGATATAAAGAAGAAGACCATTGAAGACTACCTGGGAAAACCAGGATCTGCTTTGATGAACCTTATCGGACAGTGTGGAAACAGATACCATGTGTTCAATAATAATGAGACAAGAGACCGTATGCAGGTGTCTATATTACTGCAAAAAATCAATGATATCTTGACAACAAATGGAGGAAGTTATTACACATGTAAGATGTTCAAGCAGATGGAAAAAGAAAAACAAGAAGCACAGATGAAGATGCTAATGGACAAAGTGGAACAACTGAACAGAGAGAGAGAAGAACTGCTGGTCAAACATGAAAAAGAGAATGAAAAATTGAAGATGAAGTTGAAGAAAGATGGAAAGAATCATGGTGCAGAGAAGAAGAGAAGAGGAGAAGAAGAATTTAAAAAGATTGAAGAACAATACAAAACAAAACAAGAGAAACTGGAGGCAAAGCTACAAGAGGAAATACAGAGAAGGGAAGAAGAGGATGGGACAAGGAGGAAGAAAGAACAAAACTTAAGGGATGAATGTGATGAAAAAATTAAAAAAGAAAGAGAGGAAATCAAGAGAGAAAAGGAGAAAATAGAAAGAGAGAAAGAAGATCTTCAGGACAAACATAAAGTAGAAATAGAAAAGATGAAGAAGATGATGGTTGAAGAAATACAGAATCATAACAAAGAGAAGAGTAGAAAATTGGAAGAATTTAGTGAAAAAAATAAAAGATACAGTAAAGAGATAAAAGAAAAGGAGGAACAAATGCAGAAACATCAGGCGGAAATGCTAAAACAACATGAGATGCTCTCAAAGGCAATCCAGCATGAGAAATCTCTGAGAGAACAACAATGTAAAATGTACGAAGACAAAATGGAGTCAATAGAACAACAGAAGCAAGATGAACTAAAGAGACTAAAACCACCGGACAATGAAGAAGACATAAGAAAAGACATAGAGAACATGAAAATGTGCTGCTCTCAAACAGCCTCTTCTCTAAAGGTAAGTCAATGTAAATTACAACTAAGGTCAGGAGCATTTAGAGGACTTAGGGCCAGATATACTAACGCTTTTGCGCCCACTTTAGGCGTATTTGTTTCGCAAAGTGCGCATAAAACCATGGCGACGTATGTACGAATGGGATGCACCGAGATGAAAGCGCAGACTGCCTGTCGCGGGAACTGAAAATGGCAAAATGCGCTTTTCGTGTCATGCATATGCATTCATGGGATGGACAAGGGGAAAGTGGGAGTGTCACATAAAGAGATGGGAGGGGAAGCGAAGCGCGAGTCCCCACGACCACGCCCCACCCCCGGGTGCCGTATGGGATGGGTGATCGAAGGATAGTGATGGATGTCTCACCCGGTAACCATTCCCTGTGGGCACATCACTCCTCCATCACACCGCAGCCGATGGAATTCCTGTTAAACGTGCTGGTCCCTCTGTAATGGATCGATCAGCCGTTTCAATTGGGGTTCCCCCAGAGGATAAGATGTCGATTGCATCATCGGAGGGTGAGCTGGCCTCTGGAGATGACGACTCGGCTGTGTTATCTCCCTCTGGAAGTGTAACATTGTCCGAGCCAGATCCAGAAATGTCAGCTATGCTAAAACGGGCCGCCCAGGCTGCCGGGCTCGAGTGGTACCCTCCACCGTGGAACCCTCCACGGTCTCGGTTGGAGGATAGGTATTTCGGGGCGGGCCGCGCTGGTTCTCAGCTTGCCGCCCCAGTGCCTTTCTTTCCTGAAGTGCATGGAGAGCTTACCAGGTTGTGGACGGCACCTTTCTCTGCCAGAAACTGCACCTGTGTCGGGCAGCCGCTGCCTTTTGGGGGGATCCTAGTCTTCCCCCTAAGGCCTGTGAGTTCTCGTCCGTTCCGGGCACCCATGGACATGCCAGGGCACCCGTGGACATGCACGAGGGTAGCCCAGACCGTGCGCCCATAGGTGAGAGCACCACCTGTGCTTCAGACCTGTGCATCAGTACAAGCACCGCAGTGCTTCAGACCTCGCCCTCTGGGGCACGAGTATCGTGGCGTGCGCGATCGGTCTGGCGATGTCCCCTTAATGGTCCAGGAGCACCATCCCTGGCTCAGCCTGGTTGATATGGCGGATGCGGACAAGGTTCAGTTCCTGGTCTCCCCAATTTTCCAGGTTGGGCTGGTCGGCGATGCGGCGGAGAACTGGGTCCAACAGTTCTCTGCCGCCCAAGCGCAGATGGAGGCCATCCGGGACATCCCGCTCCAGGCACTCCCAAGCCAGGTGGCAAGCGACAGCGAAAGTATTCCGGAGCGGGCTGCTCAGGAATGGAGGAGGATGCTCTTAGAGTTGGTCACTGATCCACTCCCTCCCCCCGGGTGAGGGCCGGATGGAGTCTTTGTTTGTGTGTGTGTCTGCTCCACCACTGGTTCCCAAAAGAAGTGGAGCAAGCGGTACCCACACTTCAAATAAAGAGAAAATTCCTCTGTTCCTGGGTCCCAAGAGGGCAAGTCTGGCGGTGTGTGACCCTGTAAAGCCTTGCACCCCTCAGCCCCCTCTTGTTCACCAGCATGGCAGCTGGGTGCGGTTCGAGGACCCGGTCATCCTCCTTCTCACTCATCCCTGGCATTCTCGTGGAGACAGGTAAGTGTCGTGCACCACACTCAGACCTTGCTTCGGGCCGCGTCCGGGCCTTCCAAGCCGGGTCCCTGTCCTCCACCTCGCTGCCCCACCTCGGGTATGTCTGTGGTTCCCTGGCCCCTGTGTTCTTGCGTTCGAAGGTGCAAAGTATCAGTACAAGTCCTACCATTCGAGTGCTCCATAGCCAGTTGGGTTTTCAGGTCAACTGGGAGAGTAATCTCGCCCACGGGCTGAGTATCTCTTTTTCAGTTCAGGAGAAGAACTCAGCCCAACACGTCTCTTCAAAAAGAGTGTGTTCAGCTGGTGCTTGAAGTGAGAAAGGGTCCCACTGAAAGAACTCTCAGAGGCTCCTGAGGCAAATGGCAGCCACAGTCGCTATGGCTTCCTCCATGTGAAGACCGCTTCAGTACTAGCTTTATGATCGAGTCCCGAAGTGACCGTGGCAGAGCGGCACGCCAAACCCTCAGACCTTTGGTTTCTATGGGCCAAACCGCTCCTAGAACGAGGTCCACTAACACCGACTGAGGGGCCATGTACAAAGGGCATGCTTTAACGCAGGCCTGGGCGACCTCCTACTTCATTGGTATACGTTACCTCGAGTTGTTGCAGTTCACCTCACTTTGAGCCACCACTGCTCAGCGAGCTGGTACTGGTCTGAAAAGACAACACCGCGACCATTGCGCTAAGCTTCCCTCGCATATTACAACTCGCCCGTCACCTCCTCCTTGGAGTCAGAAGCTTCTGAGGTCGCTTCATTCCACTATTTCTTCCAACCTGCTCAATCGTACCGCCAACGAGCCTCACGACAGCTGTGGCCAGGGAGAGTGGAGACTCCATCCCCTGGCGGTCCAAATGGGCAGGGACCACTTCGGGGCCGCACAGTTACATCTGTTTGCCTCTCCAAACTCGTCCTTCTGCCAGTTGTGTTTCTGTCTAAGCGGACATACCTTGGACAGACACTGGCTCTCAGCTGACCTCGGGGCTCCGCAGAAATGCGTTCCCCAGTGAGCCTTCTAAGAATGCGGATATGCGATTCATTGTCGCTTGGCGCCTGCTCAAGTTCAGTGATTTTCATCACACTCAGGTTTTGAGCAAAAATGCTCCTGAAGCTCAGTGAAATTCATCACACTCAGGTGTTGAGCAGAAATGCTCCTGAAGCTCAATGAATTTTTATCACACTTAGGTGTTGAGCAGAGATGCTCCTGAAGCTCAGTGAATTTTATCACACTCAGGTGTTGAGCAGAGATGCTCCTGAAGCTCAGTGATCTTCACACTAGTGTATAGCAGTGCTCCTGTCTTGTGCGCGCATGTCACTTGCACCTACTGTGCTAAGTCAGGAGAGGAGCAGGTCTTGATAGTTGCCCCTTATTAGCCCAACCAGACCTAGTTCTCCTCGACAGCCTTCCTGGCTTCCCCTGAATACATTTCAGGGACGGGGTGATGGCACCCGCGTTCAAAAACTGGACGCGGAGGTTCAGGTGGCTGACCCAGCCCTGGCTTTTCTCTGTCTGTCCGCTCCATTGCGGTTTTACGCGCACAGAATGCAAAGCCTGGACCTCAGACCGGCTCTTGTCTGATACAGAAACCAGCAGAAGGGAAGGCTGTTTCAAAGCAGAGGTTGGCCCACTACGGTGAAAGTTTTCCTAAGGTGCACTTGCCCACCTGGGTGGTGAGCTCCTCCTAAGTAAGGGTATTGCTCCCTCCTAGGCGTTGAAACAGAGTGCCTCGCTAACAGGCAAAAAGTTTATTGAAGCTATGTGGGTACTCAGTTTTTCCTGTCGTTTAATACATTTGGCCAAAAGTGCTATGCACAGGCTGTATTAGAGGACAAATACCAGACTGACACTCTTCTCGGCTACTCAAATACATAAAACATTAGGATTTACACACATTGTGTTTCTTGAATAATGAAAACGCTGTAGGCCTACTTTTTCAAAGACCTAGTTCTTTATTTACCCTTGCACTGCAAACAAGCAGACACGTTCTCCAAAATGCGAGCAGGACTTCATTCACGATTGAGGGGGGTGGAGCTGCTTTATCAACTTTGCCGACTTGAGGATCTTTAGTTTAGTCACAAGCTCTAGTAAAAAGCTATTTAGTATACAGTTCTATTCAAGTTCTGGTATAAAGTATAGGCAAAAAAAAAAAAAACTTTATTAACCGGATTTTTTTTATAATCAAACCATTTTCGGAACTGCAAATTTATAGAAGGGACACAGAGCAGAAACTTTAAAATAAGGATTCTGCTCTGAGTGAACCGATTTTTTCTTCTTCTCGTTTTTAAGCCCTGGTGTAAACAGGCCCTATAACATGCTTATCTAAAATTGAATTACTGTAGTTCTTCTTCTTTTGTGGCACAATAACAAATTAGTTTTTATATATGAATGTATTCATTTATTTACAGAAAGATGAAACTGGTCAAAGCCCAAAGGTTGGACAAAAACCCAATGAACAGCTCGAAGAACTCTATGATAGACTAGATCTGAAAAAAAGACATCAAGATAAAATGAAAACAGCAGACATTCTTCAAATCACCAAGTCTTCATTTCAGTCTCAGGAGCCACAGGAAGAGAATAAACTGGTAAACTCATTCCTACAAAAGCTGATTAACATGGACTACAGAGCAAGATACACAGTCATAAAACACAGAAAGAAAGAAGGTAAAAAAAATAAAGCAAGCTACAACCCTGATATTCACCCAATGGATGTTCAGATGGCCGTGTTTCATTGTGCTGATGGTTTCCTGAAGCAGTTGATGGTGACTAAACTCTCTCAGTGTCAGTATTCACTGCCTCTGCTTGTTCCTGATCCATTTACACAGCAGATTGAGTTTCCTCTCTGGACATTAAGTCAAATCGACAAGAGCTGGAAAAAGAAAGACTCCAATAATGAAATCATCAGTCAAACTCAACCGGTCTACAAGGCTGAGACCCCAATGGTGGCTTTCTTCAGGTTTGGTTCAGTGTCTTCCTCTAAGTCTCAGCTGATAAACAGCCTCATCAACGAGAAACACCACACGTTCTTCCACAGGAACTGTTCAGGCAGCAGCAGAACCAGATTACTGATGGACGGAGTGGTGGAGATCGCCTGGTACTGCCCATCTGGGAAAAAGACAGATTCATTTGATGACTGTGTTGCTTTCTGTAATCTTCATGGTGATGCTGCAGCCAATGAGAAACAATATGAGATTCTGACCAGTATGGCTACCATGAACATCCTCTTCTTACCAGATTTTGGACAGAAGAACCACTACAAGGGTTTGGTGAGATCACTCTTCAAATCTCCTCTGCCTATCATTTGTCTGCTCACTGACAATAACTGTGATGAAACTGAACTGGGGAATGGCAAATTCATAATTGGGCTTTTGGACAAAAACCTATCTGATGTATCTAATCAGATAAGGGAGATGATCAGAGTGAGTTTGAGCAAGCAGAAAATTACCTTCAAAGTTGAAGATGTGGCCAAACACACAGGAATAAGAGTAGATGAGGAGGATCCAGCGTGTTCGAGAGGGAAAGAGGCAGCGGATCAGATCATGGGATTACTGAGAGGAAAGGATCCATCAACAGTGAAAGAAACAAACCTGCCCTGTCAGGGGAAACTGTGGCATGACTGGTGTAAAATCAACAAAGAGCTGCATCATCTAGAAGGAGAAAATCTAGAGGAAGATAAAAGTACCAAACTCAAGATCATGAGAGAAATAAGAGAAAACCAAGTGGCCCAAGGACGGAGTGAGTTCATGAAAACATTTATTGAAACAATGAAATCACAGAGAGACAATGAAAAGAACTATGTCCTCAGATGGATGATGAACCTGTTGAATGACTTCACTTCAGAGAAGCTCTTAAGACTTCATAAAGAGTATGACAAGAAATGGCATGAACTCTCAGCACTGAAAAAAAGGCCTGATAAACTAGATCAACTGCAGCATGAACAAACAAACCTGGAAAACATATCAGAGCAAATTAATAGAACAACATTTGGCTTGGAGCACATCCTGAGAGAGTTTGGTCAGATCTATGAATCGTGGTCATCTGTGAAGAAGTACAAGAAAAACAATCTGCAGTTTGACTTCTGTTCTCTCCCGAGTCTTGCAGCAGAGATGATGATCTCTGGATTTCCAATGGAGCTGATGGATGGAGATGCTGCTCATATTCCTCTGACCTGGGTCACTGCTGTTCTAGATGAACTTGTTAAGAAACTGGGAAAGAAGACCAGAATCTTTGTACTGTCTATTCTAGGGATTCAGAGCTCTGGGAAATCCACCATGCTGAATGCCATGTTTGGACTGCAGTTTGCCGTCAGTGCTGGAAGATGCACTAAAGGAGCTTTCATGCAGCTGGTCAAAATATCAGAGGAGATGAAAACTGAGCTGAAGTTTGACTATATTTTGGTTGTTGATACAGAAGGACTTCGTGCACCAGAACTGGCTGGAAGGTCAACAACACATCGTGACAATGAAATGGCCACATTTGTTGTTGGTCTTGGAAATATGACCCTGATCAACATCTTTGGAGAAAACCCATCTGAGATGCAGGACATCCTTCAGATTGTTGTTCAGGCCTTCATGAGGATGAAGAACGTCAGACTGAAACCCAGCTGCATATTTGTTCACCAGAATGTCTCTGATATCACAGCTGGAGAGAAAAACATGGAGGGAAGGAGACGACTGCAGGAGAAACTGGATGAAATGACAAAAATCGCTGCTAAAGAGGAAATATGTGATGCAGAAGGATTCAGTGATGTGATTGCGTTTGATGTACAGAATGATGTGAAGTATTTTGCTCAGCTGTGGGAGGGCAGCCCACCCATGGCACCACCAAACCCAGACTACTGCGAGAACATTCAAGAACTGAAGCAAACTATTCTTAAACACGCTTCAAAATCAGATGGCATAATGCTGACGCACCTAAGAGACCGTACTAAAGATCTCTGGGAAGCTTTGCTTAATGAACAATTTGTGTTCAGCTTCAAAAATTCTCTGGAAATCTCAACATACAAGAAACTAGAGACTGAATACAGCAAGTGGGCCTGGAGCCTTCGGAGTGCCATGCTGGACATTGAAAACAAGCTTCACAACAAAATAGAAAATGAAGCAATTCATGACATTGACGAATTTTATCTTGAAAGAGAACTGAATGCAAAAAGTGAAGAAGTGAAAAAGACAATGACTGAATTCTTTAAGAAAGACAGAGACGCAGCTGTACTGAATCAGTGGAAAGGTTTCTTTGAGATAAAAATCAAACAGCTTCAAGAAAACATTGTGAGAGAAACTAAGAGGAAATTAAATGGGGTTCTTCAGCAGCGTCACCTGAAGAAAAAGATTGATGCTGAGAGGACACATCATGAAAACACACTCTTTGAAAAGAGCAAAGAACTTGTCTTAAAATTCAAAGAACAAGCAAATGATGAAAATTTCATGAAAACACAGTTTGATTCCTTTTGGAAACAACAGACAGCTGAGATCATCAGAGACACTCCTTTAGTCAAAGATATTGACATATTAAAGGATGTGAAAATGCTGTTCAGTGAGACCCATGCAAGTCTTCCTTTAGACCGTATGAAAGAGAGCAGTAAGCAGAAAGATATGATCTCTTTGCCAAGCTATTCAAAATATGTACATTTGAAGAAATCCAGTGGATATACAGCACCTTTAAAAAATATGCTCAAAGGAGCTAAAGAGATGTTTGGTCACGTTTTATCTAAAGAGGATGAAGCCCAGATAAGATCTTTAATCACAGACATCGCTGAACACACAGATAAAATGATTCAATCATATAACATTTCAAAGATGGGCTACAACAACAGCTACATTCAACAACTTGTAGATTACATAAAGACAAGAATAATGCAGCACGAGGAAGAACCAAATGTGAAATATGTGTTTAAGAGTGAATTCTTCATGGATCTGGTACTTTTCATATGTCACAGAACAAACAAGACATTCACTGACCAGTACAAAATGTTCAGGGAAGCCAATGATCCTGTTCTTTATTTTGAGAGGAAAAGTCAGGAGTACATTAGAATTTTTCAGAAATACTGTAAAGGAGCTAAATCAGCTACTATCTTTGGTGATTTTGTTTGTAATAAACTTAAAGAGCCCATTCAGCAGAATATCTACAAAAAAACTGCCAGAGATTTAGCAGATGAAATGAGAACAAACTGTGAATCACTAAATGGAAACAGATCAAAACTGGAGAAACATATCTTGAGAACATTGGCAGAAGAGGAGGATTTTGATGCATACATCACATACATTAAAAATCCCAAAGAACACTTCAAGGATTTCATCAGAGATGAAGTCAGTCAATATATCACTGAAAGATTTGAAGATAGTGTTCGACCCAAGATGGAAAATAGCATTAAACTGCTGGAGCAGAAGATCACAAACGCAGCACATGAATCCACTAAACATGTTAAAGAGACTAATGGAGAAGCTGATCAGTGGTTGTGTCATTTCACACAACAACTCTCTGATGAGCTGGTATTCTCTGTAAGGGACCTCACTGGAGTGAATCATGATGATGTTGATGTCAGCTTCCTAGAAGAAGTGATAAAGAAAGAACTTCCTTCTATAATATCTGACATACGCAGTAAATTCAGCACAGAAACGTTCCCAGTAAAGCTGGAACACACAGACAGACCAGATGAGCTTCTGATCGATCACCTCTGTCAGTGCTGTTGGGTTCAGTGTCCTTTCTGTGGAGCGATCTGCACAAACACAATAGAAGACCATCCTGGAGATCACAGTGTTCCTTTCCATCGTAATACTGGACTGAATGGGTGGCGTTACAGAGGAACAACAAACCTATCTCTCAGCATCTGCACATCAGCAGTAGCCAGTGATCGATCTTTCTATCCAAAAAGCTCAGATGATACAGTCCTCTGGAAGCAATACAGAAAAGGAGGTCCTAAATATTCTGCATGGAGTATCACCCCTGATCTCTCTGAGCTGCCGTACTGGAAGTGGTTTGTGTGTGAATTCAAGAAAGATCTGGAAAAGCACTATGGAAAAACCTATCAGGGACGTGGCCAGATTCCAGCTGAATGGAGAAGATACTCTCAAGAGGAAGCTATTGAGAGTCTGGATGAATACATTTAATGAAACAATGAACAAGGACTCTGATACACAATACACAGCTGAAATGAGATTATGTCCCACACTTCAGTGAACGTTGCATATACTAAACTAAATATAGCGTATTGAAACTGCTCAAAGAAGTAGTTCACAGAATAGATTCAATATTTTAAAGAAATATATAATCAAAATGTTGATATACTGATATATAGTTAAAGACAGTAGATGTTTGAAGAATATACCGAAAATGTAAATTCTTATTTTATTATCTTTCACATTAGTTTGTCTCCTGTGGGTGTATTGGCAGATGTATTGTATGCCATTTATTCAGAGACATGCAGCTATGACTAAATGCATTTCACTATATTAAAGTAACCAAAAGCATGCAAAGTTGAAGATTATACTTCATTAGAAAAGTACTGGCTGTGCATTACTCTTACATACTATACCATTTCTCCTCCTCTCTGCTCCTCATCTATGGAGACACCCTTGCCTGGTGTTCCTTAAGCATTATCTACCTGTTAGCTCATGATATTCTTTATACTAATGTATCCTTGGTGTTTAGTATGTATATACCCAGCTGAACAATAAATCTCTGAAGAAGCTTAAACATGGACACTGTCTTCTGTGTCTATTTCTTCCCACGCCTGTGCATTCCTGATTAAATGAGCTGAGAATATTTGGGGCATTGAGAAATAACCTCACAATCATCAAGAGCAGTTCATTTCTGTGGTTCATGGCAGATTACATTCAAACCACCAGATTTAACATGAACTGAACCCCAGCCTATACTTTTTCAAGTGGACTTGATGGTGAGCACTGGGTTTGGAAAAATGCATTCGCACCAAATAAACCGAAACAGATTCATTTCTGCTCCAAATGCTGTGGTGTGAAAGCCCCTGTTGTAAGAAATACTATTTGCCTAGTTTAAACTATAAGTACTCATTTTTGCATAGATTTAAGCAGGACAAAATATTGCTTTGTGTTTGATATAAGCAAATGCCATAAACAAATGCTTGAATGCAATTTGCTTGGTTTGGAAAGTACCTGCAAGACTTACTATGTTTATAATGCAGGATATAAACAAATGGTTAAAATATGTATGTAGAATATAAAGAAATAAGTAAAAAAAATCTCCAATACTGCTGGTTTGAGCTGATATATTTAGCTTTATGCATAATTTTTTTTAACTGCCTCCTTTGAGACATTCCTGAAAAACTCTATATTCTGTAGATTTGACTGTATTTACTCTACTTAAATAACAATAGGGTTAAAGTTAAATGATGTTTTATTAACAAAGTTCGGGAGGAGCACGTTCAGATAATTAAACCTAATTAAACACACGTGGAGCACATTTAGATAATCAAACCTAATTAGACACGAGTGGTGCTTAATCAACGAGTTAAGCGCTGTGTATATATACAGCAAACTTACCTCCGTTCATTGACAGTTTAACAGCATCCCTCCACCACCCCATCTCCTCACTTATAGTCCTAATACTCTTACAACAACGGGGGGAGTACTCTGGGTTCGGGCAAAATTCCGAGCTCGGAGCCCTCCCCCCGGACAGCACGCCAAATACGCATAATCTTTACTCTGTTTAATTGATGTAAGTGTGAACTCGTGAAATATTATAGTTAAATATAATAAAAGGACACACTGCAAAACAATTCACATTTATTTGTAAAGTGATTTTCACAATACAAATCATTTCAAATCAGCTTTACAGAAAATGAATGCTTCTAAATTACAATTTAGAGTGATCTGTTACGGTGACTGTGTCCAAGTTATGTATTTCAGAAATACGACAAAAACAATGAGCTTATTCAAGTAATATATACATGTTGTTTACAAATGATTAATATATATAGAATTGTTTTTCAGTGGTGCATGTAGATTCAGAGTTTGCGTCATCTAAAGTCTTCGCAGGAGTTGAAATCATCTCTTCACTGGAGTTATGATCATCTGAAGTCTTCACAGGAGTTATGATCATCTGAAGTCTTCACAGGAGTTATGATCATCTGAAGTCTTCACAGGAGTTATGATCATCTGAAGTCTTCACAGGTGTTATGATCATCTGAAGTCTTCACTGGAGTTATGATCATCTGAAGTCTTCACTGGAGTTATGATCATCTGAAGTCTTCACTGGAGTTATGATCATCTGAAGTCTTCACTGGAGTTATGATCATCTGAAGTCTTCACTGGAGTTACGATCATCTGAAGTCTTCACTGGAGTTATGATCATCTGAAGTCTTCACAGGTGTTATGATCATCTGAAGTCTGAGTTATGATCATCTGAAGTCTGAGTTATGATCATCTGAAGTCTTCACTGGAGTTATGATCATCTGAAGTCTTCACTGGAGTTATGATCATCTGAAGTCTTCACAGGAGTTATGATCATCTGAAGTCTGAGTTATGATCATCTGAAGTCTTCACTGGAGTTATGATCATCTGAAGTCTTCACTGGAGTTATGATCATCTGAAGTCTTCACAGGAGTTATGATCATCTGAAGTCTTCACAGGTGTTATGATCATCTGAAGTCTGAGTTATGATCATCTGAAGTCTGAGTTATGATCATCTGAAGTCTTCACTGTTATGATCAGTTATGATCATCTGAAGTCTTCACAGGAGTTATGATCATCTGAAGTCTTCACAGGAGTTATGATCATCTGAAGTCTTCACAGGAGTTATGATCATCTGAAGTCTTCACTGGAGTTATGATCATCTGAAGTCTGAGTTATGATCATCTGAAGTCTTCACTGGAGTTATGATCATCTGAAGTCTGAGTTATGATCATCTGAAGTCTTCACTGGAGTTATGATCATCTGAAGTCTTCACTGGAGTTATGATCATCTGAAGTCTTCACTGGTGTTACGATCATCTGAAGTCTTCACTGGAGTTACGATCATCTGAAGTCTTCACTGGATTTATGATCATCTGAAGTCTTCACTGAAGTTATGATCATCTGAAGTCTTCACTGGAGTTATGATCATCTGAAGTCTTCACTGGAGTTATGATCATCTGAAGTCTTCACAGGAGTTATGATCATCTGAAGTCTTCACAGGAGTTATGATCATCTGAAGTCTTCACAGGAGTTATGATCATCTGAAGTCTTCACTGGAGTTATGATCATCTGAAGTCTTCACTGGATTTATGATCATCTGAAGTCTTCACTGGAGTTATGATCATCTGAAGTCTTCAATGGAGTTATGATCATCTGAAGTCTTCACAGGAGTTATGATCATCTGAAGTCTTCACTGGAGTTACGATCATCTGAAGTCTTCACTGGAGTTATGATCATCTGAAGTCTTCACAGGAGTTATGATCATCTGAAGTCTTCACAGGAGTTATGATCATCTGAAGTCTTCACAGGAGTTATGATCATCTGAAGTCTTCACAGGATATATGATCATCTGAAGTCTTCACAGGAGTTATGATCATCTGAAGTCTTCACAGGAGTTATGATCATCTGAAGTCTTCACATGAGTTATGATCATCTGAAGTCTTCGCAGGAGTTATGATCATCTGAAGTCTTCGCAGGTGTTATGATCATCTGAAGTCTTCACAGGAGTTATGATCATCTGAAGTCTTCACTGGAGTTATGATCATCTGAAGTCTTCACAGGTGTTATGATCATCTGAAGTCTTCGCAGGTGTTATGATCATCTGAAGTCTTCACAGGAGTTATGATCATCTGAAGTCTTCACAGGAGTTATGATCATCTGAAGTCTTCACAGGAGTTATGATCATCTGAAGTCTTCACTGGAGTTATGATCATCTGAAGTCTTCACAGGAGTTATGATCATCTGAAGTCTTCACAGGAGTTATGATCATCTGAAGTCTTCACTGGAGTTACGATCATCTGAAGTCTTCACAGGAGTTATGATCATCTGAAGTCTTCAATGGAGTTATGATCATCTGAAGTCTTCACTGGAGTTATGATCATCTGAAGTCTTCACTGGAGTTATGATCATCTGAAGTCTTCACTGGATTTATGATCATCTGAAGTCTTCACTGGAGTTATGATCTTCTGAAGTCTTCAATGGAGTTATGATCATCTGAAGTCTTCAAAGGAGTTATGATCATCTGAAGTCTTCACAGGAGTTATGATCATCTGAAGTCTTCACAGGAGTTATGATCATCTGAAGTCTTCACAGGAGTTATGATCATCTGAAGTCTTCACAGGAGTTATGATCATCTGAAGTCTTCACTGGAGTTATGATCATCTGAAGTCTTCACAGGAGTTATGATCATCTGAAGTCTTCACTGGAGTTACGATCATCTGAAGTCTTCACAGGAGTTATGATCATCTGAAGTCTTCACTGGAGTTATGATCATCTGAAGTCTTCACAGGAGTTATGATAATCTGAAGTCTTCAATGGAGTTATGATCATCTGAAGTCTTCAATGGAGTTATGATCATCTGAAGTCTTCACTGGAGTTATGATCATCTGAAGTCTTCACTGGATTTATGATCATCTGAAGTCTTCACTGGAGTTATGATCTTCTGAAGTCTTCAATGGAGTTATGATCATCTGAAGTCTTCACAGGAGTTATGATCATCTGAAGTCTTCACAGGAGTTATGATCATCTGAAGTCTTCACAGGAGTTATGATCATCTGAAGTCTTCACTGGAGTTACGATCATCTGAAGTCTTCACTGGAGTTATGATCATCTGAAGTCTTCACTGGATTTATGATCATCTGAAGTCTTCACTGGAGTTATGATCATCTGAAGTCTTCACAGGAGTTATGATCATCTGAAGTCTGAGTTATGATCATCTGAAGTCTTCACTGGAGTTATGATCATCTGAAGTCTTCACTGGATTTATGATCATCTGAAGTCTTCACTGGAGTTATGATCATCTGAAGTCTTCACTGGAGTTATGATCATCTGAAGTCTTCACTGGAGTTATGATCATCTGAAGTCTTCACAGGAGTTATGATCATCTGAAGTCTTCACAGGAGTTATGATCATCTGAAGTCTTCACAGGAGTTATGATCATCTGAAGTCTTCACTGGAGTTATGATCATCTGAAGTCTTCACAGGAGTTATGATCATCTGAAGTCTTCACAGGAGTTATGATCATCTGAAGTCTTCACTGGAGTTATGATCATCTGAAGTCTTCACT